GAAGAAGGGTGAGGGGGTGGGTGAGGAAGAAGAGCAGGTCAGGGGCTTGGGCCAGGGGACACCTCTGCCCACCGCTATTGCCCACATGCCCTCAGCAGGGTCCCCCAAGAGGACACGAGATGCCTGTGACTAAGCCTTACCCCACCAAAGACAAGCTCCCGAGGGAGAGGAGCCCGCCGGGAAAGGGGCCAAAATGCAACCACCCAGACACCCGCCAAGCCCCCTGCCCTTCCCCAGGAGCTGCCAGAAGGATCTGGAAGGGCACAGCCGTGCCCAGGGATGGGGAAGCACGTGGGCACGGGAGCCAACCCCTCGACTTCTCCAGTATCCTGAGGCTCCAGGCCAGCAGGGAGCCACCTGGGCCACCTAGGAGCCTCCTGCTGGGGGCCAGCGGCCACACACACACCCGCCTGGGGAGCCGACACCAGCCCCTACCCAGGGGCCGCTGGCATAGGCACTCAATCCACGTGTGTTAGAAAACTGTAGGGTGCCCTAGACACTGGCCGTGCCCAGGGGACAAGGTCCCTCCACCACCACAGAGCTCCAACACCATGCGCTCACAGCACTGTCCTGGGGCCTGTCTCCGTGTAGGGCTGCCTGGGGGCCAGGAGCCTGTCACGCTGCATCTTGAGGTCCTGGGAACCCCACTGGGTCTCTAGCAGGCACTCAGGAGGCCCCCAGAGCCGCCTCGGCTGGGAGCCCCTGAGGGGAGAGGCCTGGATCACCTGCCCTCTGGCCTGGGGAGGACCACCTGAGGTCCCTGATCTGGCCCCGCTGAGCCCTCTGCTGCCCACAGCTGGGAGCTGTGCCGCACCTCCCCCAGCAGGGGCCCCTGGCTGCACCTGCCTCCCTGCCTCAGTTTCCCCAGTGGTCTATGTGCTGGAGACGGGGACTGAGAGCCAAGGCAGGCCAGCCGTCAGCCCCACTGTCAAGACAAGAAAGAGGGGCTCAGGAGGGGACCAGCTCCTCCCCACGGGGGCGACAGGTGTCTGCCAAGAGGGTGCGGGGACGGGGCTTCCTTGTGGGAACAGCTCAGGAAGGGGCAGCCATCCCTGTGCCTGGGACCAGCGAAGAAGAGGAGTCAGAAGAATGGGGTGGGGTCCAGGCGGGAGAAGGGGCGCCGGGGCCCCAGGAGACCCACCTTTGCGACCTGGCAGCCCACGGAGCCGACAGCGGCTGAGCAGCACGTGTACTGGGTCTCCCAGCCACCAGCCACTGTAAGGAGATGCGGTCAGGGACACACTGACTGGCCGTCCAGTGACCCTGCTGCAGACTCAACCGGGTCCACTGGATCTGCCCAGTCCTAACCTCCACCGGGACTGTGGCCTTGTTTGGAAATAGGGGTTTCCTCCCCCGCTCTCTTTTTGTGAAAACATACGCCATCTCAACGATTTCCCTGCATACAGTTCAGTGACACTGACTACATTCTTCAAGCTGTGCAGCCGTTCTCACCCTCCTTTTCTGGATCCACCACCAGGAATACAAGCTCACTGCCCCCTAAGCAAAACCCCCCGGCCCCTCCTCCTCCCTCACCACCGATAACCTTTGGTTTCTACATGTGCTTAGAAAATAGGTTTTCTTTGCCTATCACAGTGATCCTGCGGGGTGGGGTGGGTCCTGGTGCCATCCCCTCTGCATGCCGTCTAATACAGGGTGACACGCGGGGGCAGATGTGTTGATAAAGTGCAGAAGCGCTGAGGCCTGTGGCAGCCCTGACTTCAGACTTCTGGTCTCCGGGATAGAGAATAAGTTCTGTTGTCTGACGCCACCCACTCCCAGCAGAGGGAACCCCGATGCTGGCTGAGGGGTGGCCTTGGGGAGCCTGGCGGTTTCAGGCCCTTTCCTGGGGCAACTGTTTGGGGCGGGGCACGTCCTGACCCCAGCGCAGGCCCCAGCGTGCACTGCCTTGAGACGCCGGTGGATTTGCAGGCACAGATCCCAGGCCCCCACACAAGGCTCCGGGCAGTGTCCTTCTTATGCTGGACACTGGGGACAGACAGCTGTGGCAGAGACGGGCAGGTGGCCGCCCGTGGGAGGGGGGGATGGCGATGGGGGCCCAGCTGCGTCAGGCATTAAATGAAACAGCCACGCAGCATAGGATGCTTCCTTGCAGAAGCAGGGTGTGGCAGTTCACTGGGGGTATCAGGGAAACCTCCCTTTTCTCTGCCCTGCCTGCACGGGAGGGACGTGTGTTACTCTTGTGATAAAAGAACAAAGGGGACAAAGAAGAAAGAGGGTCTGGAGAGAACAGAGGACAGGGGACGGGGGACCGAGTGGGATGGCAGAGGGAAGCAGGGGACTGAGGCCCGCCCCTGCCAGCTGGGCCGGCTCACCTCGGTTCCGCCGGAGCCGCCCCCAGTGGTAGCTGCACTCCTCAGCACGCATGCAGCGGCCAGAAGACGACACGAGGTACTCGGCGCCACAGCGACAGCAGATCCTGCAGGAGGCTGCGGGCAGGACAGACAGCAACGGACAGATGGACAGACGGAGGGGGCGCGGGGTCAGGGCCGCCTCAGACTGGAGGGGGCAGGGAGTCGGGGCCTCAGACGGGAGGGGGCAGGGGGTCGGGGCCTCAGACGGAGGGAGCGCGGGCTGGAGTCCCCCCCACAGCTGTCTGTGCTGTTCCCTCTGCCCGGAGCCCCTTGCCTGCCCCTCACCCCCTCTGGGCACAGGTGACGCATGAAGGCAGCCGCTCACCGTCCTTGGGCTTCTTCTCCTCAGCCGTGAAGATGATGGCTCCGCCAGCCCGCTTGGGATGGGGGAAGGGGTAACCATTCTCCTTGAGCTGGTCCTCAGTGAGCAGGTACTCCTTGAGGCGGCTATACAGCGCGACCCCTGTGGGCGGGCACACCAGGGGCCGTCCGTCACGGGGGGACGCAGGGGGCACCCGTTCCCAGGAGGTAGGGGCCAGGGGCGGCGGGGCTGAGTAGGAGGGTGGGCTCACCCTTCAGTTCTTCCACCCGAGGGCTGCCTGGCCGGCTGAGCGAGAAGCTGGTCTTGGCAGCCAACCTGCCCCCCAGCACCACCTCGTGGGACACCAGCCGCCGGCTGCTGGTTTCTGGAAGAAGGGGGAGTGGAGGGCTGGGTACACTCAGCTGACCAGACACCCCGCTGTCCCCACCCCTCAGGCGTTGTCCCTTTAGCAACCCCCCCACTCCCTGCTTCTGGAAGGTTCCCCACGGCCCAGACCAGGAGAGGAACATGCACATGTGTGATGTGTGTCGTGTGACCTTGTCACCCCCTCCTGGGTGGGGAGGACCCTGCAGGCCCCCACCCTGAACTCTGTGGACGGGGATGGCCCCTTCTCAGCCTGGAGGCCCTGTGCCCCCACAGTGGGAGTTTTCACCCTCGGGCAGGTAGGGAGAACGCAGCGGGACCTCAACGGGGCAGGTGTGCGTGGAGCCTACAGGCCCTGGAGCGCGGGCACGGAGCTAATGGAAGGGACGACCGTGAGGCGGCGGGCCAGGGCGCCCACTGAGTGCTTAATGCACCTCAAGAGTGCTAACGAGCGTCCTCTCTCGCTACAGCCCGTCTAGCTGTGAAGGGCCCGGGGGCTCCATTAGTGGGGCCCCTCAGGCCTGAAAGAGCCGCTCAGGGAAAATGGTGGCTAATGGGGAGGGCAACTCCAGGGGCCTCCCAGACATCGGCCTGGAAGTTCTCGTCGGTTGTCTGAGGTCCCACAAGGGCCCCACCCCAACCACCAGAGCCCGAATCTTCTAGCTCCCTGTTCCCTCCACTGCTCCCCAGCCCCCAGACTCACTGATGAGGCCAGGTGTGGCACTGGGGACCAGGCCCCGCAGCTTCTTGAGGGTGTTGACAGCGACGTTCAGGTAGATGTTCTTGCTGGGGCTGCGGTCGTAGGCCACCTTCTCCTCCGTCAGCGCCTGGTCAGGCACGTAGGCACGTGGCGCTCAGCCATGGCATCACACCCAGGAGCCCCGACAGCACGTGGCCACATGACCGGGTAAATGCTGGGCTCGGGGGCTGGGGGACCCTGCGCCTCGCCCAGGAGCCCCCCCAACAGCTGCCGTGGAGTCGACTCCGACTCCTGGTGCCCCCGCGTGTGTCAGAGCAGAACTGTGCTCCACAGGGTTTGCAATGGCTGAGTTTTCACAAGTGGATCTCCAGGCCTTTCTTGCGAGGCCCACCCTCCCGGCCCGTACCTTCTCGATGGCTTCCTGGTTGGAAGAACAGAACTTGAGACACTCCTCGATAAACAGGTTGAGGTACCGCTGCCGGATGGCTGTGGGGACTTTGGCCCCAAACTCTTTGGGGATAATGGGCTTCTTTAAACTCTGAAGGAGAGCAGAGCCGGCAGCAGGGGTGAGCGGAGGGCGTGGACACCGAGGCCCCCGCCCCGGGCCGGACCCCCGCCCCGGGCCGGACGTCACCTGCAGTGATGGACTGTGGGCGACCCGCTTGGGGACGGCGGGGGAGGTGGTCTTGGAGGCCATCCCTGCCAGCGTGCGCGTCTTCAGGGGCTGCCTACCGGGCTCAGGGCCCTGGGGGAGCTGGCTGCCACCGGCCGCCAGGGTCCGCTTGGCACCTGTGGGGGCTGGCGGGGGGCCGGGGGTGTGAGGGCGGGCGGCAAGCAGGCCCATGACCGAGCTACGGAGCACCAGGTAGCTGCGGTCACTCAGGGCCAGCAGCACGTGCATCTCGCGGCACAGGGCCGGGGGCCGTGGCTTGCAGCTCGGGCTGGGGAAGGACATTGGGCTCTATCTGCGCGCGGGCAAGTCCATCGAGGGGGGACGACGGTCAGTGGCGGGTGGCTGGGTCAGGCGCCGGGGCCGCCGACGGGGCGATGTGGAGGGCGGCGTGGGCTGTGGCAAGTCGCTGCCGCATGGTCGGGCCCCCGACTCCGAGGCATTGACATCCGAGGGAGGAAAGGCCCTGGCTCCAGGGCAGAGGACCCGAGGGTATGGACGGCCCGGCCCGTCATTGTGACCAGCTCTGGTCTCTATGTTCTGCCCCGCCCACCAATGAGGTCACAAAGCATGCAGTCTCCACCCGGGGCGGGGTGGGGCTGTGTGTGCTTGTTTGGGGGTCTGGTCAGCTGTGGACCCAGGCACTGGTGAGGAGACCGATGCTCAGGGGGCTGGCTGTCCCTCCCTGGCGTCAGGCCAATCTCCCTCAAACTCGTCTGGTCCCTGGGGGGCAGCCCAGGGGCCACGGGGCCACAGGCTGCCCCACACCTGCTGCCCTGGTGAGCTTTGGGCCCACGTGTGAAGCATAGAGGACAGGGCGTCCCCGATGGCGGCCCCCACAGCACCAGCTCTGCCCAGCCTCGTCATGCCGAGCCTGCCCAGGCCTCAAGATACACCATCCCTGTCACGGATCACCCAGGAAGGAAGGGAGCAGCCACCTAACACGCTGGACCCTAGTGGAAGATCTCTGAGACTCAGTCTTCATGCAGCCCTTGGGAGTCCACACAGAAAGGAACGTAAGTGTGACACGCTGGACTTGGCGTCCAACGCACTGGGTGAGCAGGCCTTTGCGGCTGGAAAGCCCACAGCCAGGGCCGGCAGCCAGTCATGCTGGGGGGTACTAGGGGTGCCTGACAGATGCGCGCCTGCAGCCACCTGGCTGGGCCATCGATTCTAGAGCGGGAGGTCAGGGCTGTACGCGCACGCCCGCGTGTCTCAGGGTCGACTCGATTCCAGGCCATGCCTCTCCCTCGCAGCAAAGGCACCACTGCTGAGCCCCTGACGCTGGCTTTGCGGCTCTAACTCAGCTGCTCTGGGGAAGGGGAGGCGGGAGGCAGCCTGGGGTCCCTGCAGAGTGTTTGCTAAAGGTCCTCGCCCCCAGGGGAAGTAAGGGGGGCTGCCGGGACACCTGTGTCCACAGGAAGGGCCAGCGCTGGCCGTCCTGCATGCAGCTCTCCCCGGGCCAGCCTCCGGGGGCGCTCAGCGGGTGGGAGCTGCTCAAGGGTAGTCTTTGAGCAGCAGCGGGAGACTCCCCCGGGAGGTGGCGAGACACGCCGTCCTGGCTAGCCCCGTGGCCCCAGACTCTGTGCGCTACGGAGGCCCCGGGTTCCCGCGTGGGAGAAGTGCCTCCCCTCACCGTTCCTCACGCCTCCACAGAACGTTTTAGGAAAACAGAGCCACGGCCACACTGATAAGCCACCCAGCCTGACGACAAAGGAGGTGCCAACTTCCAGACAAGGTCAAGGGCAGGGCTAAAAACGTGCCCTTCAGACCGAGGGAAACGCAGCTCGCACCCCCCTACCCCCACTGCCACTGTAAGCTGCCGAGTCGGCCCCCGACTCATGGCGACCCCACGCGCCACAGAACAGAACACTGCCCGGTCCTGCGCCGTCCCTGTGATTGGCTGTGGACCAGACTGTTGTCACCTGCAGGGTTTTCTTTTCACGGGCTGATTTTTCTGAAGTCGATCACCAGACCTTTCTTCCTAGTCTGTCTTAGTCAGGAAGCTCCACTGAGACCTGTTCAGCATCTAGCAACGCGCAAGCCTCCGCTGACAGACAGGTGGGGGCCGCGTGTGAGGCCACTGGCCGGGAATCGGACCCGGGCCTTGCACACGGAAGGCGAGGCTCTCCCACTGAGCCACCAAAAACCTCGCCACCCCCTCTCTCTGTTACATACACGTCAGCCGTTAGAGCCCATCAGCGACCAAGCTTTTCCTGCAGCTGTACCTGCCACTAACACCTTACTAGGTGGGACGCCACACCTGGGCAGGACTTGCCACGCCCACCTCCAGACCATCCCGAAGCCCTGAGTCCGGCTGGGACCAAGCCCCCTGGGCTCCTGCCCCCCACATCTCAGGAGGCAGGAGCCTGGATCAGAGGGGGAGGCGCGGCCAGCACGATGCAGGAGGCAGGGACACAGAGAAGGGTAGCAGGGACAGCCGGGATGGTCACTCGGGGACATGCTCCAGGGAGGCCTGGTACAAAGGCAGGGACACTCAGAGCCAGGAGGGGTGGGGGCAGCACCGGGCCCCCGTGACAGGCCAGGGGAGGTCCCCCGCCCTGTCTCACAGACGAGCAGAGCGAGGCCCGGAGGAGGGGTCTGCTCAAGGCCACCGCGAGCGAGAGGCGCAGGACTGAGGGTCCACCCTGACCAGCAGGGGCCCCAGCCCGGGACACACCTGCAGCCAGGCGGGGGTTGGGCACGTGGGCAATCCTCCTCTTCTCGCCGGGCGCCGAGATGTGCACGGAGGACGGCTTCTCGGCCGGCCGCGGGGCCGCCTGGAGCCAGCTGGCCGACTCCCGCTGGGCCTGCTGGGCGCGCCGGTAGCACACCTCCTGGGCGGTCAGGGGCCGGGCCGGGGCCACTGGTGGGGCTCTCCTCGGGGGCTCTGCCTAGAGGACCAGAAACACTGGGGCCTGGCTGCACGTCGGGGGTCCCCAGAGCCCCAGGGTCTGGGGAGCAGGTGCCAGTGCCTCCCAAGGACGCCATGAGGCGCACTGCGGCTCCATCCTGGGTGCCTCCTGGCGTCTTCCTGCCCAAGCTGTGTCCTTGGCCCTGACACAGGGCAGGGCGGGACCCCTGGCCCGCAGCGTGATTGGCCCTGCCCCAGCTTCCGGAGGAGGAGGGCAAGAGGGAGGGGTGTGGTGCCCCCCACTTCTCCTCTGAGAGCTCACTGGCCCCACAGCAGCCCCACAGCCACCGTGGGCTCCACAGTGCAGAGAGGCTGCAGTTCAGGGCCACGCAGCGTGCCAGGGGATCCACGCTGGGGGACTGTGCTCCCTGGGCCATGCACCCCAAGCCCCCTAGCACCATGAGGACAGGCGGTGGGCCAGTCTCGTCTTTCCTAGGACGAGACAGCGCCAGATCCGACTTTGCCAAAAGAAGCCACTGGGAAGGCACACTGGGCGTGTGTTTCTGCAGATGGTGGCAGGGCAGGGTGGGGGACCCAGCCCCCCCTTCCCACCACCAGCCGTCCCCGGAAACGAAGTCCGATGCCCCTCACCTCCTTCCCTTGCTTGGCAAGATGGGAAATCCTCCTCTTCTGCCCAGGGAACAGCGTGGTCAGGCCCGCACGCCCCTTCTCCTCGCTCTTCTCCTCCTCGGGCGGCTGAGACACAGCACACGCAACACACACACACACAACACGCACACACGGCACATACAGCACACACGTGCCACACACACAACACGCACATCATGCAACACGCACACACAGCACACACGTGCAACACGATACATGACGCACACAACGCACACACAGCACACATGCAACATGCGTGACCCGCAACACGTGACACACCACGCACGACACACAACCAGACACGCAAACACACACAACACACGACACATACAACACACGGGACACACAAACACGTGTGACGCACACACACGACACGCACACACAACACGAGCCATTTCTCAACGTGGGCCCCTCCGCGGAGCCTCCCCGCCCCCAGCACTGACGCGTCTTCTCCACCCCGCCTCAAAACCACCCCCTGCAAGTGGAAGCTGAAATCTTCCAGACCCCGAGTGCCGGGGGAGTGGGGTGGGAAGGAGGAGACACACTGGGGTCGGGTACACCCCGCACCTTCGAGGCGGAGCATGGTCCGCACCTGCACCCCAGGAGGTGCTCCAGGCCCGTCCTTTGGGCCAGGATAAGGCCCCCAACCCAGCCCCAGGTCCCATGCGCACATCCCCAGCCCTGCCACCTGGAACCCCTCTCCTGCTCCTGTCCTGTGCCCCGGCCCAGGATAAGGGCTTGGAAAGGCGCAGGGCAGGGGCTGTGAGTGAGCAGAGAAGCCAGAACGTGCGGCCAGAAGGGAAGGGCCTGGCTGTTGGTTTGGAGGCAGCACCCCCTGGTGGCCGTGGTGGGGAGCGTGAGGAGGAGCCAGGTGAGGGCTGCCAGGGCAGGGGAAGGGAGAGGGGCTGGGACTCGTGTAAGGAGGGGTGCACTGCAGCCCGCTACCCCTTGGCCTGTCTGTGGGAACGTGGCAGCAGGAGCCCCACCAGGTGGGCAGTGACCAGCATCCTCTTTCTGGACTGGGGGCAGAGAAGCAGCAGGTGGCTGCCAGGGGCTCCTGATTTAAACGGGGCAGAGGTCAGCGCCGACCGACCAGAATGGGGGCGGGTGGCCGGCGTGCGTCTTCACCGAGACCATGAGCCATCGGGAACCGGCCCCGGGACCAGCCAGGACTCGGGGCCGCTGCCCTCACCTGGCGGGCCAGCCGGCCCTTGTCCTCTGTCTTCACGCTGGTGGACTCGTTGAAGATGCGCAGACACTCCTCCATGGGGTCTGAGTCAAAGTCCACCTCCTTCTCCAGGGCCGTGTAGTCCACGTCCGCCCCCGAGGAGGAGGAGGAGGAGGGGGCCGGGGAGGCGGGCGGGGGTGGGGAGGCCTTGAGCCGCTTGGGCGGGCCCTGCTCCTCAGCCGCTGACAGCCCCAGGCTGGAGTCCGAATCTGAGTCTGAGCTGAGACTGGGCAGGACAGGGGGCCAGGCCCGTGGTGCCCCCGTGTCCTCGTCCGCGCTCTCGTCCCCGAAGAGGTCGGCGTGGCTCAGGGCACGCCGCTTCAGCTTGGGGGCGTCCCGGGAGCCGCCCTCGTCCAGCGAGTGGGCTTTGCGCGTGGCCAGCTTCCCCGAGGAAGAAAGCTCGCCCTGCTTCCTGTGGGCAACCCGGGGCTCCAGGGGCCGGTCGGGCCTCGATTTCCCTGAGCTGGCCAGCGTGGTGGCCGAGGATGGCTTCTTCTTGGTCCCGTCCGGCCGCTCCACCTGGCGCCGGGGGCTGGCAGCCTGCGAGGTCCTCTTCTCGCCTGCCTTCCCTCGGCCCCGGCCCCTGCCCTTGTCTTTCTTTCGCGCACCGTCCTTGTGGCTGGTGGGCGGCGGCTCCCCACGTTTCTTCTTCTTGGAGTCCGCCTCCTTGGGGGTCCCCCGCTCCTGTGCGGCTGGGCCTTGCGGGGGCTGCCCGAGGTCGCCGACGTCATACTGCACAGCCATCTCCTTGGTCTCGCGCTGGCTGCCCTCCTCGGGCTCCAGGACGTCCCTGCAGGGCTGCTTCCTGGGGGCCTGGCTCTCGCTGCCTGCAGGGGCCTGCGGGGGGCTGGCGGAAGTGGGCCTGTTGCCGGGGGCCGCCGCAGCATCATCTTCCGAGTCTGAGAAGCGGGCGTCGCAGCCACCGAAGGGGTCGCAGTGCTTCTTGGGGGCCGGCGTGTAGGGCTCACGGCCAGGGGCACCCCGGGCCCGCTTGGGGGCCCTCTCATCCCTGGAGCCGGCCCTGCTCAGCAGCCGGGCCGAGTAGTTGGACAGCGGGTCATACTCCAGGTCAGTGGACGGCTTGGAATTGTCCACGACGTACTTGCTGCTGGGGACAGGGCGGCCGTGCCTGCGGGGCTGGCCCACAGCCTTGGGCACGTACTCCAGGGCGCCACTCCGGCCCGGGCCCCTCTCCAGGGAGTACTTGCCGCCTGGCTCGGCAGGCGCGGCGAGCGGCGTGGGCTGGTAGCTGGCATCCGGGCTCAGTGAGCCGCGGCCGCCAGGGTGGTAGTCGAAGGACAGCGGGAAGGCATCCTCATCGCCCAGGTCGGCGGCGGGGGTGGCGGGGCCGCGGGGCGCCAGCGCAGAGGCCTCACCAGTGCCGCCCGCCCGGGCCGAGCCCAAGAGCTCCTGGTAGCGCCTCTTCTCCAGCTCCACCTCGGTGCGCACAGCCTCGATGGCCTGGTTGACCAGCTCCAGCTCCAGCATGTCCGAGCGGGGCTTGTCCTCGCCGCCCAGGATGCCATTCTCCCTCTGCACGGGTGGCTTGGGCAGCTCGGGGTTGTACGGGTCATAGCTGAGGCCTGAAACGGAGACGGGAGGGAGAACAGCCAGTCACCAGCCTGAGGATGGCCCCAGCCCACGGGACTCATGTGGGGACGAGCAGAGAGACGGCCTTCCGGAAGCTCCTGTGAGCTGGCTCTGGCCGCGGCCCCCAGCAGAGCTCCACCATGGTGCTGCTGGGGCTGGCTCCCAACTGGACACCAGCTGTGCTGGGTGCTGCTCAAGCACGTAGCTGGGTGAAGGCAGGGTGGCAGCGGGGTGCAACCGCTGGCCCCGCCGGGCAGGGACTTTCCATGGTCCACTTCATGGGGCCTGCACGAGGCCACGAGGGGGTGGAGACATGACCAGCCCCCAGTTACAGGTGGGGAGCTGGGGCTCAGGAGGGGAGGGGCCTGGTGGGTCCCACCCTGGCCCAGCCATCACCTGAGCCACACGACCTTGTTTCCTGTGGCCGGGCCACTGGGAGAAAGGCCACCACCCGGTGTGTGGTCAATTGTTACAGCAGCCACAGGGAACTCATGCACGCCCGAAAACTGTAAGCTTTCGTGGGGAAGAATTTACCACATACAGGGCATTTGGGGGCAGTGAAATGATTCTGTGTGACGCTGTAATGGGGGACGCGTGATGTTGCGCACTTGTCAAAGCCCACACAGCCGCACAAACTCGAAGAGAGAACCCTACCGTAAACGGTGGACTTGGTTGATAACAACGTATCAGTATCAGTTCACCAAGTGTAACCAACATAGCACATTCAATGTGAGACAGTAACAACTCAGGGACCCGCGAGCAGAGGGGAGGAGGGGGATGGCAACGCTGTACTCTCTGGCCGTTTTTCTATAAACCTAAAACTGCTCAAAAACAAAACTAAAAAAAGCGGGGGCAGGAGAGGGGAGATACGAGGATATATGTTGTACATTTTTTTTAAATGTCTCTAAAAATATGATAAAATGAATAATTGCAAGTAAGACCCAGCTGGGTCCACTACCGACTGAGAGGAGCCAGAGGCCAAAGGGCACATACTGCAGGATCCCACTTGCGTGAAATGTCCAGAACAGACAAATCCATAGAGATCAAAGTCATTCATGGTTCCCGGGCTGGGGGTGGGGGGTCAGCGCCTGGGGGGGTCTCTGTGAATGGCGATGGAGAACTCTGGATGCGGACAGCACAGGCGGTTACAAAACATGGCGAACGTGATTCAGGTCACTGAAGTGTACACACAAACAGCTGGAACGGCGAGTTCTTACTGTATATATTTCACGACTGAACGCATAAAGATCTATATCCCAGGAATGAGAGAGTGAAATGAACTGGTATTGGTCATTCTGAATCAGACAAACATATGGTCTACTCTGCCTGGAATGACAACTTGAAGAGGAGCAGTGTTGCGTTCATCGTCAAAAAGAACATTCCAAGATTTATCCTGAAGTACAACGCTGTCAGTGATAGGATAATATCCAAATGCCTACAAGGAAGACCAGTTGATACGACTATTACTCAAATTTACACACCAACCACTAAGGCCAAAGATGAAGAAATTGAAGATTTTTTTACCAAATTCTGCAGTCAGAAATTGATCAAACATGCAGCAGGATGTATTGATAATTACTGGTGACTGGAATGCGAAAGTTGGAAACAAAGAAGAAGGATCAGCAGTTGGAAAATATGGCTTTGGTGATCGAATTTTGCAAGACCAACGACTTATTCAATGCAAATACCTTTTTCTCACCAACATAAACTGCGACTATACTCGTGGACCTCCCCAGATGGAATACACAGGAATCAGAGGGACTACATCTGTTGAAGGAGACAATGGAGAAGCTTAATATCAGAACAAGGCCAGGGGCCAACTGTGGAACAGACCATCAGTTGCTCTTATGCAAATTCAAGTTGAAGCTGAAGAAAATTAAAACAAGACCATGAGAGCCAAGGTACAACCTTGAGTATATCTCACCTGAATTTAGAGACCATCTCAAGAATAGATTTGATGCAGTGAACACTAATGAGTGAAGACCAGACAAGTTGTAGGATGACATCAAGGACATTATACATGAAGAAAGCAAGAGGTCATTAAAAAGACAGGAAAGAAAAAAAAGACCCAAATGGATGTCAGAAAAGACTCTGAAACTTGCTCTTGAACATTGAGTAGCTAAAGCGAAAGGAAGAAATGATGAAGTAAAAGAGCTGAACGGAAGATTTCAAAGGGCGGCTTGAGAAGACAAACTGAAGTATTATAATGACATGTGCAAATACCTGGAGTTAGAAAACCAAAAAGGAAGAACATGCTCAACATTTCTCAAGCTGAAAGAGCTGAAGAAAAAATTCAAGCCTCCAGTTGCAATATTGAAGGATTCTATGGGCAAAATACTGAACGACACAGGAAGCATTGAAAGAAGATGGAAGGAATACACAGGATCACTGTACCAAAAAAAAATGAGTTGATGTTCAACCATTTCAGGAGGTAGCATACGACGAACAACCGATGGTCCTGAAGGAAGAAGGCCAAGCTGCACTGAAGGCACTGGTGAAAAACAAGGTTCCAGGAACTGACGGAATAACAATTGAGATGTTTCAACAAACGGATGCAACGTTGGAAGTGCTCACTCGTCTATGTCAAGAAATTTGGAAGACAGTTACCTGGCCAACCGACTGGAAGAGTTTCATACTTGTGCCCATTCCAAAGAAAGGTGATCCAACAGAATGTGGAAATTACCCAACAATATCCTTAGTATCACATGCAAGTAAAATTTTGCTAAAGATAATTCAAAAACAGTTGCAGCAGTACATTGACAGGGAACCACTGAAATTCAAGCCAGATTCAGAAGAAGATGTGGAACGAGGAATATCACTGCTGATGTCAGATGGATCTTGGCTGAAAGCAGAGAACACCAGAAAGATGTTTACCTGTGTTTTACTGACTATGCAAAGGCATTTGACTGTGTGGATCATAACAAATTATGGATAACATTGCGAAGAATGGGGATTCCAGAACACTGTACTCAGAGGCAGTCTTTTGAACAGAAAAAGGCAACATGGTCTGGTTTAAAATCAGGAGAGGTGTACGTCAGGTTTGTTTGCTTTCACCGTACCTATTCCATCTGTATACTGAGCAAATAATCTGAGAAACTGGATTATATGAAGAAGACAGGAGCATCAGAATTGGAGAAAGACTCATTAACAACCGGCATTATGCAGATGACACAACCTTGCTTGCTGAGAGTGAAGAGGACTTGAAGCACCTACTATTGTTGTCAGGTGTTATCGAGTCGGTTCTGACCCCTAGCGACCCTAAGTACTACAGAACGAAACACTGTCCGGTCCTGCACCATCCTCACAATTGTTACGCTTGAGCCCACTGTTGCAGCCACTGTGTCACTCCATCTTGTTGAGGGTCTTCTTCTGTTCCGCTGACCCTCTACCAAGCATAGTGTCCTTCTCTAGGGACTGGTCCCTCCTGACAACACGTCCAAAGTATGGAAGACGTAATCTCGCCATCCTTGCTTCTAAGGAGCATTCTGGTTGTACTTTTTCCAAGACAGATTTGTTCATTTTTTTGGCAGTCCATGGTATATTCAATATTCTTCTCCAACACCACAATTCAAAGGCATCAATTCTTCTTCAGTCTTCCTTATCCTTGTCCAGCTTTTGCGTACATATGATGTGACTGAAAATACCATGGCTTGGGTCAGGCGCACCTTAGTCTTCAAGGTGACATCTTTGCTTTTCAACACTTTAAAGAGGTCTTTTGCAGCAGATTTGCCCAATGCAATGTATCTTTTG